TATTAAATAGAAATTTGAGTTTTTACCAATACCATACAACACTTGAATTTCAATACATTCTTAATATTTTTAGATTGATGGTACTTCATCGAAAAGCAATATGATGAAGGCTGATGATTTATATGCTGTACATGATTTTGATATTGACTTGAACATACAGTTACCAATTTAGGTAAAAAAGTGTGTATTTGTGAGTTATTTTGTAAATATATTTAAGTAAAATAATTATTAAAGGATTATGACATAATTTGTTATATGTCAATAATTGTTTTTACTTATAAAATTAAAATTAGACCAGCATTTACTTTGATATTATGTTATTCTCTCATAAATTACATTCTTGCAGTTTAATGTACTTAAATACCATGTTATATGTATTTATCACAGTTAATTATCAGATAGAACTAGGTAATTAGTTTAAAGCAATTAAAACTGATAAACATATGATCATATATAATATTAATTATAATAATAATATAAAACTGAACGTTTTATTAAAATTATTGAATTTGTCTGTAACACTTATAAATTAAAAAAAATAAATTACATGTTTGCTAAACTAATTGATTACAAGATAATAAAATTTAGTTATAAGATAGTTTGTGTTACGTTAACTTTAGTGATATACATTTTAATTTTAAGGAAATTAAATTTATACTTATTTAAATTTAACATGTAAAATTAATGTTTTTAATTTTTTTACAATATATATTGGTGTCATTACAATGTATGTATTTATTCGTTGTAACTCAAGAAAAAAAATATTCTTATAGTAATAATAGTAATAGTATTGTTTAAAAAACCTCATATTTTCTGTAATAATTGTGTAAGCTTATTTAAAAATATATTTCCATGTGATTGTAAATCATTTAAATAATTAGTATTCTAAATAAAAGGTATTCAAATTAGTAAAAAATATGAATTTTGGTTTTTTTAAAAATTTGAATTAAAATATTAAATGTTTTACTGTATTTTTAAATTTCCTTAAAACACAATGATGTATTTTATACCTATTTTACTAATATTTCCGGTTAAATTTCATATATCTGAGATATTGACTAATTTAATTTTTGTAGAACTGTGTTATCATTATTAAGGGGAATGTTGGCACTTAAGTTTCTTCTGACCAAGTGAGGAAGGTATTGTTAATAAATTTCTCCATTCTCATTTTTTGTTGATCAATGTACAGTTTAAAATTATAACATTATGATAATTATGTAATTTATTAGTTGATTAAGTATATCAAATCTGTTCTCACTAGCCCTCACCATAAATAGTTCCTAATAATGACACAGACAAAAGGATTCTATTGTTCGTGTTGACTATATGGGTTAGACTATTGATTTTAGATTTAGTTAGAAGCTTTTTTAATTAATATATCAATTAGAATACTAAATATAAAATTAGAAATATTTTATAGTATTTATAGTATAATAAGAATACATCAAAATAATATTGCTAAAGTGTGATAACAAGTAATTTTAGTTGTCCTAMTTAAACCTACATGTGGATTATGTATTTTTTTTGTGTATCAACTTTTCTTTTAATGTTATTAATTACTTTGTACCTACCAATAATTTTTTTTTATCTTTATATTTATTATACATTTTTTTTTTTTCATAAGGAAACTTAATGTTATTATGTTTATTTTATTAATTGTGTCTAAATAAATCTTTTTTTTCCGATCTACTATCGAAGTTACTTTCTATGATAAATAAAACATTAAATATATTAATATTATTGAACTGTGCTAATTAATTTTATATGTTTTTTTATTGTTTTTATTTTTTGGTATTACAGATTCCTACAGAAAATATTTCATTCAATAAGCAGTGGTATGTTACTTCTGGTTTTTGAACAAATTTATTCCAAAATTACAAACCAAAAAAAAAAAAATGTACAAAAGAAATATTCAATGGTTCTGAATAACCCATCCCAGCAGTTATAAGCTGAACTTTTTTTTTTTTTTAGTGGCTACCATATTTTGTTTAATTTTTTTTCTTTAATATTGTAAATCTTTAAATTTATTTATTATTAAATCATTAAATTGAATGAAAGATCACAGTAAAAAATTATTTATTAAATTAATAATAAAACAAAGTGTAGATATTGGTACTAAAACTAATTATACAGAAATACATCATATTGTATAATTAATATTAGATTGCATGCTTAAGTATAATCAACAATTGCACATAAATATTTTAGTTTATTGTAATTGTTTAAAATAATATGTTAATGAATTGATTTCAATTTTAAATCTTAATTGATATTAAATTTTTTTAAATTGTTGTTGGTTTCAGGTAAACTAACATTTCTATGTTCATTTTTATTTATTTAGTTTAAMGGATTTATTGCCAATATACAATATAATTTATAAGATAACTCTATAAAATGGTTAAAAATAATAATAGTTTTAATATTTGATATAATTTAGATTTTTTGTCAAGTCAAAACATTAAAAAACTTAAAAACTTTTTATTACATAATGGTTAAATGAGGTGAGTAAAGTGTTTGGTAAGTTGGATGGTTTAAACTCATAGTAAAATGTTGGAAATATAATTTCACTAAAAGCTAAACTTACAAAGATAATTAAACATAAAAATATTTTATTTTAATATAGTTGAAATTGAAAATAAATAAATATTAATAAATTTCATTGTAAATAATATTAAGGAAAATGGGATTATTAATTTTATGGAAAATATAGATGAATCTTTATATGCAAGAACATTGTCTTAAACACTAAATACTTAAAATATATTACCAAAAAAACCCGGAAATATAATATAGTGCAGCTGTTCCCAAACTTTTAGAATCGCAGAACCCTTAGGAAATAGTTTGTGTCTTTACTTCCAACTCAACCCCATTTTTTCTAAAAAAAAACAGTACTACAAAAA